ATTAAAGCTGCGTTATCTATAACTACAATCCAATCTTATCTATTGAGGAGCGATGATGTTGCTCAGCATCTAACTGTTGATTATCTAATATCAGGTAGGAGTAGAGAGCGATAGAGCAGTCTTCACAAAGCGATAACAAAAAAAAGTACTCTTCTTCTACTATATCACAAAACTTTAAATACCACCTTTACATAACCTCTATCATTTAAATAAATAGTGGCCTCGGCGAATGGTTGTAGAATCTCTACTAGATCATTTATTGTATCCCACTCATTGTTATAAAGTAAAATTTTTTTTTAAATATTTAAGATCTTTCTTAATATCATAATCAGATTTGGTTAAAAGTAAAGTTACAAGAAAATTAATATAGTTTTTTAATTTAAGGAGCCTATTCCATGTGAGATACAAGAAATTCTATCTTGTTGGGCAATTGGCAATTGCATGCAAATATTTGGAAGCTTTTTTGATACACTAATAAATTTGAATATATTAAAATTATGATTTGTATTATTTTACCAACACTCGCTTTACCAATATCTTATTTTATTGACAATTAATTCACTGACAAGTTTATTTTAATGACAATAAATTTATTTACAAATTCATTTTACTAATGGTTTATTTCACCAACAGCTCATTTCACTAACAAATTTTTTTTATAAATCACACTAACTTTAACTCTAATCCTAATCTGACTCTAACAACAATGAACAAAATTATTTTGCCTATAAAATGAGCTATTAATGAAATGAACTTATTAATTAGTAAATTAATTTAGCAAAATAAATTTGGTGAATTGATTGCTGGTAAATTAAACTGTTGGTAAAGTGATTGTTAGTGTAATAAATAGAACCCAAGATTATTAAATTATATAAATAAATAAAAATAATTATTACCTCAAAATTATTACCATTTTTATTATCCTCATTCGGATTAACTTTATTGAATTTGATTAGGAGAAAAAAGAAGATTGTGAGAAGATGGTGTATAAATTTTTTTCTGTTTTCCCTGGGAATATGAGCAGCAAGCAAAAATGCCAATTCAAAAGATGAGAAAGATAGTCTTTCACTTGAATTTCAAAGATTTACTCCGAAGTTATAAACATTAGACTTTTTATTACATTTATATCCTTGTTTAGTAAAGCACTTGTGTTCTATATATGCCAGTATTCCATAACGATAGAATTTGAGGTCATAGTCATCTGCTTTGTTTTTTTTTTTTTTAGAGACCTCAATTATGTTACAGTTGTAGTATATTACAGCCTATTGTAGCATAAACGATTGGGGTGTATGATATCAGTCTAATTACAAATGGATACGTATCATCAATGGCGTAGGAATAATATTGAACAATAATATTAATCATCAAACAATCGTTAAATATTAATCATCGTGCTGTGTGATAGAGTGTGATTGTTGATAGAATGATAAAAATATAGTGCAGGTTATATATTAAGATTACTAATTAAGATTTTTTATATGTAGTATACTGTAGATCAGCATTAATTTAATAGTAAAAATATAGAAAGTTCAAACTGCAATAACACTTGAACTAGCAAACCCATACAAATATAATTATATTTGTCAGGGTCGTTATAATATGCTCTTTAACATAACATCTTTTTTTTATTTTTATTGTCTGGAATGTAGTGGGGTGGGATAAAATACTGCCAAAATTTTCGTTTTGATGTATTATTAATAAAATATCTATATTCCTCTACCCTTTTTTTGCACGTAATACTGGCTGTAATTGTTGTAAAGCGGGCCAAAGTTGGCATAGTATGGGCCAGGGGTGCCAATTTTCAGAGAGTGCTTATTTTCGGAGGAATATTGTAACTTTGAATTTTTCTGTATATATTGTGATACAATATGCAATAGCTATCTACATTTTTGATATTTTTATTAATAATTCATCAAAAACAAGAGTTTTGTCATTATTTTTTATTTCCCATTGCTACGCTCCAGATAATAAAAATAATGTGTGTTGTCACGTTAAAGAGCACATTATAACAAACCTGACAAATATAATTATATTTTTGTAGGTTTGCTGGTTTAAGAGTTATTGCAGTTTGAACTTGATATTTGTATTATTTCATCAATAATCATTTCACCGAGCACCCCATCACATAGCGCGATATTTGATGATTAATATTATTGTTTAATATTACTTTTTACGCCATGTGATAATACGTATCCATTTGTAATTAGACTGATATATTGTCATGAGCCATAATAAATATCATAGGTTGTAATGCTTGTCTTACTATTTAAACCTGAATTTAATATTCAGATTTAATTATCCCTGCTAGTTTTATATGTACCTTGAATATTAATATCAAAATTTAATCATTATCCCTGTTGTTTTAACGTTTAATTTCTGCATATTTAGACCTGGATATTAATATAAGTACATACCTGCCTATTTAAACCTGGATATTAATATATATCCAGACTTAAATTACTGTATTACCTATAATAATTTTAACATTAAACCCAATTATTAATATATGTATGTACCTGCTTATTTAAACTAAATATCCAGACTTAAATTACTGTATGTTCCTAATACTTTTAACATTTAATTTTTGCATATTTAAACCTGGATATTAATATAAGTACATACCTGCCTATTTAAATCTAAATATTAATACGTATCCAGACTTAAATTACTGTATTATCTCTAATAATTTTAACATTAAACCTGATTATTAATATATTATGTACCAAACTCAATATCCAGACTTAAATTACTGTATATTCCTGATAATCTGTATTATCCTTAATAATTTTAACATTAAACCTGATTATTAATATATGTACGTACCTGCTTATTTAAACTCAATATCCAGACTTAAATTACTGTATATTCCTGATAATTTTAATATTTAATTTCTGTATATTTAGATCTGGATATTAATATAAGTACATATCTGCCTATTTAAACCTGGATATTAATATGTATCCAGACTTAAATTACTGTATTATCCCTGATAATTTTAATATTAAACCTTATTATTAATATATGTATGTACCTGCTTATTTAAACTCAATATCTAGACTTAAATTACTATATATTTCTGATAATTTTAACATTTAATTTCTGTATATTTAGATCTGGATATTAATATAAATACATATCTGCCTATTTAAACCTGGATATTAATACGTATCCAGACTTATATTATTCCTGTTAATTTTAAAAAATGTAATAATGTAAATATTTTGTAAGTAGCGTGCATGCAGAATATAAAGCATAATCATAGAGATATTCATTATTCCTGTCATCCTGAGAAATGAGCAGTATTTAATCATATGTAATGTCCTTTAAGGTCATAAAAGCAATAAAGTACCATTAGCCATCGATTCTTTTAGTCTAAATATAAATTATAAATAATCATAATAAATTTTAAATTATAATTGTTAAAATAAATATATATATATGTATTGTTCATTAGTTTTGGAATTTTTAAGTCTTATTATCAATTTTTTAAAAAAATGACAGCAAAGTGTTCTAAAAATTTATCTAATTCAATTAAACCTATTAAATCTTCAAACAAAAAACAAAAAGCCCAAAGTAAGAAGCGCACAAAGACCAGTTTGATCTGGTAGTATTTCGGAAGAAATTACAGTAATTATTTGTCAAATAAAGAAAAAGATAATACTATATGTGGTGTATCATATGTCTATACAAGCAGATCGACAGGAAATGTGATCAATTATCTTTGGAACATACATGAAATTAACAAAAATAGAAATACCAAAGTTTGTAATTAAATAAATTACTATATTAGTTAATACTTAATATTTTTAATTAACTAAAAAATTTTAATTTAGAATAATAAGCAAGTCATATCAAATAAGCAACATACTGAAGAATGGCAAATTCAATTAAGACAGTCACTTACACTATAGATTATAAAAGATTTACAGCCTATTTATATTGTAACTAGCAAAGCATTCTAGAAATTTATTAGAGATCTAGATTCTGCTTTTTTAATACCATGCGAGGAGACTATTAAAAAATTAATTTTTATAGTATATGATTATAGTTTACCTCTCCTCAAAGAAAAATTAATTAATGAAGCCATTTTAGTATTATTGTGTATAAATTTCTAGACAGCCCGTAGCCATCATGGCTATCTTGGTATTACTTGTTCATTTATTAATAATAACTATAAGCTGTGTGAATTTGTTCTAACTATAAAATATGTTAAACACCCATACAGCCGATCATATAAACGAAGTATTAGGTAATATCATGGATAAATAGGAAATCCAAGATAAAACCTTTATTATTACTACTGATAATGGTATTAATGTAAAAAAGGCAGTATTGGATATGAAAAATGTTAAATAGCTAAATTGCACATCATATACTCTACAACTTGTAGTTACAAAGGGACTAATTTCAGCCAAAGTATTAATTAAAAGAGTTAAGTGCATAATTAAATTTTTTATGTGATCTAAGCAGTGTGAAAGGCTCGAAGAAGTTTAAGCCAGATTTCTAGAAACTCAAAATATAAGTGATTGTGAAAATGAAAATGAAAATAATAATAATAATAACAATTTTAAGGTAAAGTAATACTGTATATATATATTTATTTATATTATAGTAATAGTTTTGACATATACATTCTAATTTATTAGAATATAAAAAAAGTTTCTGAATACTTATGTGCTATTGCTGATTGCCCAACAAGATAAAATTCCTCATATCTCGCATGAAATAGGCTCCTTAAATTAAAAAACTATTAATTTTCTTGTAACTTTACTTTCAACCAAATCTGATTCTGATACTAAGAAAGATCTTAAATATTTAAAAAAAATTTTACTTTATGATGATAAGTAGGATACAATAAACGATCTAGTAGAGATTCTCCAACCATTCGCAGAAGCAACTGATTATTTAGATAGAAGCAATTATTGCACCTATTCAATAATGGTTTCTATTTTAATTAAACTTAAAAAAAAAGTCAGCTGTTGATCACTAATAACGATATTATGGTAGAAACTAACGATGACGATGCCCAAGACTTATTTGATGATGATATAAGTGATGAAGAGGAAGAAGAGAATGAACAGGCTTATACACCAATTAATATTGATCTTGACGAAGTTAAAAGTAATTTATCTAATGCAATAAATCACTAT